CCTATCCAAGGTCTCCTAGAGTTTACTGTGCCAATTAGCCTCAAATTTTAGCCTTCGAATTGACTGCCCTCATTAGCCCTCCTGAATTTCTCTGCCCTTATTTCAGAAGGCTCTTTCAACTCTCCCGAAGTCCCTGTCTCCTAAAGTTGACATTGCCCAGGGCCTTTGTGAAAAAGCCACACCAGAAATCTTCAACATTTAACACCTGCTGCTTTAATAAGGCCATTGATATTATCCTCAGTGACTGTCAGCTCATTCTCAAGCAAGTTAAGGACCCTGTAGATGCAGATTGACTCCCATAGCGAAGCCATCGAACTCTCTCAAATGCTGGGCAGTCGCTACCTGGCACTGTTAGTGGCCTGTTGAAGGAAGGTCCTCACTCCAAAGTGGCCTGAGCTTCCTGGGAAGCATGAGCACTTTAGTGACAGCTGAAGAAGAGAGTCCCTTTTATTTCTGATAATGGACTAGCCCCAAAGAAATTTCAAGACTTGAATTTCATCATCAACCAATCAGCACCTTTCAGGAATAAGGAGTTGGCTCAGAAGGGTCTGGATGGGGCTTGTTGGGTGACCCTGGCCATCCAAGATTAGGAAAGGAGAGAGTGGGGAGTGACTGCCAATGGGAATGGATTTCTTTTTCAGTGATGAGAATGTTCTGGGAGTGTGGCAGGGTGAATAGGAGTAAAAGCGTGGAAGGGAACCCAGTACTAGTGAGTCCTAGGGAAAGTTAGTATTAAGTAGGCAGCTTCAGAGACAGTGCAAGCAGGGACTTTGGGAAAGTTAGAGGCTTCTGAGATAAGGGCAGAGAAATCCAGGAGGGTTAATCAGGACAGTAAATTTTAAGACTAATAAGGAGAGTAAATTGGGGGTCCCTCTGGTGGCACAGGTGGTTAAGATACAACCTATGAAGCTATCAGCAGCCTCTGCAGCATGAGTTCCATCCCCAGCAGTGGAGCTACCTAAATGGCGCAGCAGACCTCTCCTGTCTTGCCTGCTGCTCCCCTCAGCAGTGTATTTCAGTAGATCTGCTTGTTCTGCTCCCCACTCTGTCTCTGGTGAATCCTCTCACCCCCCTGCACCTCTGGCCTGTACCCCAGTTCTTGTATCCATAAATAAATAAATCTTTTAAAAAAAATAAGGAGAGTAAATTTTCAGAGACCTTAGACAGCGGCAATGAAAGACTAAGATAAGAGCTGTAAAGCTGGACACAGATGCCCAGGGAAGTACAGCCACCAAGTGAGCCAGTCACAAAGAGGATGATGAGATTTTAGAACAGAGAGAGAAAAAGGTTTATATATCCCCTGAAAACAGCCCCATAATGACTTCTTTGCCCCTCTCAGGCACAGTGCACCTGGGAGCCCCTTGCTTTCTTCCTTTAAATAGACTGTTCTTTCCTTTCTTGAACAAATTTTGCTTTTCTCTGCTTACTTATCTGCTTACTTATCCTTTTTACGGAGTTGTGGGACAAGAACCAGTGGTGGTTCAAGGCCTAATTAACAGCACTTACGGGCTTCACTAGTTGATTGTTGCAATGAGAAAGTATAACCTAAGTATGGGCAGATCTTTCCATTTTAAAAGAAAAGCTAGAAATCCAGAATTAGATGTGAAATTTACTGACTTGTAAACATTGGCTTATAAATCATGAAACAAGCATATTTAATCCCTAACATCTCCAGGGCTCTTCCACACCATAAACCACATTTTACAACCTTCCTTCCTTCCCCAGTGACTCCTTAGCTGGGTTTTTAGGGAACAAGGGCAGCAAGATGGAGCCAAAAAACCACCAGCTTGGATGTTACAGATTTGCCTCTGGGCCTGCCACTTGCCATCCATGCTGCATGGCAAAATGGTGAACCTTTTTGAATGTCAGCTCTCAAATGGGCAATAATACTGCCCTGCATTCGGGATGAAATGAAACACAGTAGCGAAAGCAATGATACCCATTATTATCACTAATACATCACCTGGGCCAGGTGGATGAGAGAAAGATCTTGTTTATATACCAATGTCTGCCCATAAATGTAGAAGAAAGGACAGAATTAGAAAATTATCATTTGGTATCTCCTTAAAGCTGCTTTGGCTTGTGTGGGCAGCAGGGGGAGCAGGGCCTGCCACTGCAAGCATCATTGACCTTCAATTTGGGGTTGTTAGAGCTCCAGGGCTATGGCCCTAAGTCATCAGCAGTTCTCAGTGTGAGCACACACAGCTTCTTTAAGGGTTGGCAGTTTGTCTGCCTCTACCTTGGCACACGTGACACAGTGGCCCCTCTGGCAGAAGGTGGGCAGAAGTCAGGGAGTGGAGGGCAGGGGCGGGAAGGATGCCAGCTTGGGGACTTATCTGCAATGTGGGTGATACAGAGTCTGCAGGAATTCCTCGCCTGCAGCCCAAGCCTGTTACACTAACAAAGCACTGTTAGTTAAGGAAAGATGTCTGGGAAGTAATTTCCCATTGGGAAAAATAAGGCCTATGACTCTCAAGAAGTAGAGAGAATATTTATATTTAACATAAGTTAAATACAAAATATTTACATTTAATACCCTTATGTTCAACTTCAAATAGGCATGGACAGAACATCAAAGATGATAAAAAGCATTAAATAAATGTTGGGGTCAAAATTCTGTTGTAAGGAAGCAATAATGGAAACAATAATTAATAATAATAGAAGAAGCAAAAGAAAGATAATTTTTGCTTGAAAAAGTAATAGAGCCTTTTGGAGAGAGATACAGTTACTGGATATAGCTCAGGAGTAACTTTAGGCTCCAATACACATTCAAGAATTTGTGTCGTAGAACTAATTTAGCAGAGACAAACAAAAAAAGATGGATGCACAAAGATGATTAAGTAACATTTTAAATAATAAGAAAATAGTGCAGACAACCAAAATGTCTAACTTTAGAAGACTTATTTAATTATTTACAGAATTGCCCTCAAATTTCAAGTCATCGTTAAAATTACAATTTTGACCTATCAGCAACATGAAAAAAACAATGTATGGAATGGGAAAAAATGTTTGCAAACCATTTAACTGATAAGGAGTTAATGTCCAAAAGATATAAACAATTCATACACCTCATTATCACAAGATCAAATAAGCCAATTGAAAAATAGGCAAAAGCTGTCAAAAAATGAACAAAGATGTAAAACAATGAAATTTCATTTAAACTAATTAATTCTTAATTTTAAAGAAGGAAAGAAATGATCATGCCAACATTAATCAAAAGACAGCTAGAGTGGCTGTATTATATCATATAAAACAGGTTTCATAATAAAGGATATTACCAAGGCTAAAAAAGAAAAGAAAAATAGGCAAAGGAACTGAATAGATATTTCTCCAAAGAAAATAGATGAAATATGAACAAGAACATAAAAAATAATGCTAAGTATTACAGGTTATTAGGAAATGAAAATTATAGTCACAATGAGGCATCCCCTTAGATGTTAGAATGGCCATCATCAAAAAGACAGGAGATAACAAATGTTTGATGGATGTGGCGAACTTGTGCACTGTTGGTGGGACTGTAAATTGGTAAGCCAATATGGAAAACACTATGGAGGATACTAAAAAACTTTAAAATTGCACTACCATATATCATCCAACAAATCCATTTCCAGGAATATATTCAGAGGGAATGAAAGCACTAACTTGAAAAGACAGGGGCCTTCCTGGGGGCACAAGGGGTTAAATCTCAGCACTATCAATCTATTAGCAGCCACTGCAGCATGAGTTCCGTCCCCAGCCAGGGAACTGACACCCATGGCACAGCAGACCTCTCCTGTCTTGCTGGCTGCTCCCCTCAGCTGTGTACTTCAGTAGATCTGCCTGATCTGTTCCCCACTCTGTCTCTGGGGAATCCTCTGATCTCTGGCCCCCTCACCTCTGGTCTACACCCCAGTTCTGGTATTAATAAATAAAATCAATCTTTAAAAAAAAAAAAAGAAAAGATAGCTGCACCCCATGCCCGCAGTACTATTATTTATAATATTTATAATATCAAATTCATGGAAACAACATACATATTCATGGATGGATGGATGGATAAAGAAGTTGTGGTAAATATATATAATGGAATATTATTCAGTCATAAATAAAAAACAATCCAAGGAAGTCCTGTCATTTGTGACAGCATGGATGGGCCTCAAAAGTATTTTGCTAAATGAAATAAATCAGACAAGAACAGATACCATATAATTTCATTTAAATGTGGACTCTAAAAACAAAGCAAAACAAAAACAAACTCATAGAAATGGAGATTAGACTTGTGGTTCCCAGAGAGAAGAAGGGGTGAGAGGAGGGAAAACTGGAAAAAGGTCATCAAAGATACAAACTTCCAGTTACAAATAAATAAATACAGGGATGTGATTATAAATAATAACTGTAGCTAATACCACTGTATGAGATATAGAAAAGTTGTTAAGAGAATGATTCTAAGAGTTCTCATCATAAGGAAAAATATTTTCCTTTATTCTTTTTTTCTTTCTTTACTTTTTATTGTATATACATAAGAAGACCGATATTAGGTGAACCTGGTGTGGTAATCATTTCATAATATATGTAAATCAAACCAGCATATTATGCTTCTTGAAGTTATGCAGTGATGTATGTCAATCGTTTCTCAATAAAATGAAAAACTATGAGGACTATAGAACTAACTATATTTAAATGACAATGAGAAGTGAAAATAATAGAGTGCAAGATTATGGACAGCACAGACAAGTTGCCCAAACATAAAAAATAGCTTAGGATATTATTTTAAACTACCATTATTACCTTAAAATTATTAATTATTGCTATATTCTTTCCAGTAAAGCATATTTATTGCTCAAATACATTTTCTGAACAAGAATTGGAGATTATTCATAAACGATTTCTGTTTTAGGATACAAATCTATGAGATTAAAGGTATTACTATTTTCATTGGTTGATTTGATAGAAGCAATAAGATGAAAATAAAAATACCAAAATTTGTATTTTAGGAGAAAACTCAGAGTTGACACTGAGACTCATATTTTTCTAATACACTAAGAAGAGATTTTTTTTCCTGAAAATGGTCAGTATCATCTATCCAGACAGCAAAACTACCACTTGACCCCGACGTGATTTGAACACGCAACCTTCTGATCTGGAGTCAGACGCGCTACCGTTGCGCCACGAGGCCTCCCCGAGTTCGCGGCTTGACAGATCTGGTGAACAGACTTATCGTCAGCAACTAGGGGCGGAGCTTTCTCTTTAGGCTTCTCCAAATCGCGAGTGGGCCAGATGCGCGCGCACGTAGGATTAAAAAAAATCCTCCTCTGGATGAATTGCTCTTAAGAGCATTTGCCTTAACTTTGACTCTTTAACCTCGGCACATTAAGCACACTCAACAGAGAAGCGATTGGGGGCATTTCTGGGAATGACCAAGTGGTGTTGCTGCAGCCCTGGCCTTCCAGGCGGATTTTAGACTTAATCCCAGCTCTTCCAGTGACTCGGAAATACCTTCCCTCACCTTGTCGGAACCACCTGTGGACTGGGTTCAACCACGCGGTCTTCGGGGTGGTGGGCGGAGCGCCCTGGAGGTGGTGGGAGTCCAGTGCTGCTCACACGTGAGTGCCCCGCAGACTTCAGTCGTACTTTTATCTTCATTTTATTTATATCCACAATCCAGGCCTAAGCCAACTTCCAAATCCCATCACTTAGGTGGCGACCCTGCAAACATCTATAACAAATAATTTGAGAGACCTGGTTTTTCGTTAGCGTTGGTGGTATAGTGGTTAGCATAGCTGCCTTCCAAGCAGTTGACCCGGGTTCGATTCCCGGCCAACGCAACTTCATATATTTCTTTTTTATTACTTTCTTTTCCTCCTGCTTTCTCCAAACCTAGTCTAAGGTTTTGCGCGACGGTCCCGCTCTCCGGGCCCTGGATCGGTTGCCTACCTCACAAACGCATCTCCCTTATAATTGCGCGACGTACCTCGAGCGGAATGCACACCCACGTACACGAGGGAGGTGAAGATACTGACAACAACAGCAAAAAAACCCCAAATTCGACACCCTGGGCAGAGCAGGGCGCTGATCCAGGCCCTCGCATGGCCTGATATTGCTTGCTGGGTTGAGACTGGAAAGATTCATTTGTATGTATGAGAGCACCGCGCAGGAGACCAAGTTTGGCGGTGGGATTACGCAGCCTGTGTCTATTTTGTGTTGTTTGCCCATCTGTATTTTTAAGATACAGTCAACAAAAACGTCTAATAAACGCAGTGAACAGAGAAAATAACGCCTAATTTAGTTGCACATGTAAAATGCAAGCTACTTGAAGTAAAACAAACTTCGAGAATGTCAACTCGAGAGTCGGAACAGACTACTCTGCTTTTCCCCGTTCCCTGTTTTCACAAAAGCTCCATCCCAGGACTCAAGGTCAATAGGATTTGTAATAGCAAGATAAGAAAAATAGCGCCGCTCTTCTCCCCGTCGGGGAATCGAACCCCGGTCTCCCGCGTGACAGGCGGGGATACTCACCACTATACTAACGAGGAATGAGCTGAGCAGCACTTTCTCCAAATCCTTGATCTATGACTTTGGCGGAGTTCAGCGCTGTAACTCGGAAGTCCAGCGTTTTCGATCACTGAGAAAGGCTAATCAGAAATTTGTACACGTGGCAGACCACAACGGAGAGTGCGTCTCCAGAAGGAAAGCAGCGAACAAGAATGACAGAGAGAGACGACTTCTAAGGTTGCAGACTTGCGTTCTAACAGTTCTTGGGAGCTCCCAAACACACCCCTGAAAAGGCCCCATTTCACTCCTGTCATCCACAACTGTAGGTTAATGGGCATCAATCAAACCCTAAGCGGGCTCCGACGGCAGGAAGGTGGCACCGTGCACGAAGGAGGGGCCCAGAAAGTGTCTTGCCCAAGACTGGACGTGCGTGCCTGAGATCTCCCTGGCTTGCCAAGAAAGTCTACTATGAACTGATTTCAGACACAAGATGTCCACACAGAACAAAAGAGATCGAAGTACAGCTTGTTCCAAGATATTATCTCTGCTCCATTTCCAGTATACTTTCCAAAGCAACAAGTCCTTTGCTGGGTACCGGTAGCCAGGGGGGGGAAAAAAAAAAAAAAAAAAAAAAGGCAAGAACTGGGCTCGTCCGGGATTTGAACCCGGGACCTCTCGCACCCGAAGCGAGAATCATACCCCTAGACCAACGAGCCGACGCGCAACTGCAATTGCGGACGCTTTTAGAGGTCGTTCCAGGTTTTGCAGTCTTGGGGCCACCATACTTAGTGCAAGAGTCGAGTGCCCTCTCGGAGGCCACCCGCCCTAACCCTAAATACTCTAACACTGGGGCCTGGAAATCTCTTGGCTCGGGGACCCAAGGAGCTCCAACTCCTCCCAGGAAATAACGTCGGGGAAGTAGGAGGGAGTGGTCTCAGCCTCGCCCCCGCGCAGCCCTCATGGACTGCCTTGGGCACTCGAGTCCCTGCTCCCCGTGGTCATTGTCTTGCGGCCATTCCATGACCTGGA